GGGATTTGTCACCTCCTTAGGTCGGTGGTAATGTGTGGGATCGTCCAGGATCTGATTGCTGCAGGACTAGCAACATCTCCTCTGCTTGAAGGTGTATCAATTCTAGCCGCGGTGCTAGGAAGAGGTGATTCTTCACCATCTTTTGGAGAAATACTTAAATAACAATAAAGATGCAATTATTTGTACCCAGGGTTCTTGTACTGGCTTGCTAGCTAAGCCGTAAGGCGAAACGATTAGGCTTGGTGTTTTTTGGTGACTGGTGAGGCCCTGCTAGTTGCCAAGTGGCTTGAGAGGCTCTATCTATGCTTGGCGCGAGGGGATTTTGTGTGGCCACCGAACATTGTGGCAGGATGTTGGCCTCTCGGTGACAGTAACCAGAAAATAGGAAGGGGAGTGACAGGTGAGGCCCTCTCTATGATACAATGCGAGGCGGCTAGCTCACGAGTGGCCCGAGGGGTGTATGCCTCCGAGTGTGAGGCGGGGTGTTGGCCTCGCGGGACCACTAACCGAAGCATAATGCAGAGAAAAAAGGGGGTAATACCTATTGGGCCCTAGAACCCTAATTGCCAGTACACTATTACTATTCCAGGGAAGGTAAGAGATGGATAACTACGTGAGCAGGTGTATGTACCTGGTAGTATGGTATTGAACCTGACAATCCGTATAGGTTTTTTAGTAGTAACTGTAACCTGAATGGATAAAACCATATGGCATAAGGAAATATGACATAGACCAAGCTTATCTTAATACGTACAGTATATGTGAAAAGTAAAGTGCCATGATGTGTAAATATTAAACATCGTAGCCATACTGGTTAAATATGTATCAATCTTAACCCATTAAGTGCCGTATGTACAAGTGAAAATGTGGTCTGTCCCCACCTTGTATGTTGTATGTCCCCTTGCTAGGGGAAAGTCTGTTGCGTGAGCAGCGTGCTGTGAAAAATGTATGTGAACTATATTACCAGTTACGTATATACAGACGCGTCTGCTACTGTGTAATAATATATGTATTTATACCTGATGTTGATATAGTGCTTGCTATGTGAATTGTTGTATGTCTTATTGAATGGTAGGGGTCAGTGAACATGGTGTTGCAAAATGCAAGTGCACTGGAGATCTGCCGAGTGCCCTATAGGTGGCAGTGTAGTTGGATACTGATTGGTATGTGAAATGTTGTTTGTCTGTTGACCTATAGGTGTAAGTGTTTTGGTGTTTGTAAAACCCCATGAAAATTGTCAATGTACTTGACAGACCTGTAGGTGGCAGTGTTGATAGAACCACTGTTGGTCTTGATGTGAAATGTAAATTATTGTGAATTAAACCTGAATTTGAGCCTGTGCTGGAGTTTCATTTATGGTTTATGGTTATGTTTAACCCCGTAAGGACAAAACTTCTGGAATAAAAGGGAATCATGACACGTCACACATGTCTTGTGTCCTTAAGGGGTTAAAACAATCTTATGTGTAATTTATATTGGCTGGTAAATTGTATATGACATGTGAAGACAGTTTTGCTGTTGACCAGTAGGGGTCATAAATGCTGATTGTATGGTAAAAATACCCTTTAACCCCTTAAGGACCAAACTTCTGGAATAAAAGGGAATCATGACATGTCACACATGTCATGTGTCCCTAAGGGGTTAATCCTACCGTATGACAGATAGGAGTCAGTATAAAAGCGAAAATGCTGTAGTTAGTTTGTTTGCTTATGAAGTGAAATAAAGTCTGAGAAGACTGTAGTATACCGATTGACCGGTAGGGGTCAGCATGTAGGCGAAAATGCCGTGGTTCGTTGGTTTGTACATGAAATGCAATAATGTCTGAGAAGCCTGTAGTACACTGAATGACCGGTAGGTGTAAGTGTGTAGGTAAAAATGCAGTGGTTTATTGTTTTGTACACGAAAAGCAATAATGTCTAAGAAGCCTGTAGTACACCGAATGACTGATAGGGGTCAGTATGTAGGTGAAAAATGCAGTGGTTTATTGGTTTGTACATAAAATGCAATAATGTCTGAGAAGCCTGTAGTACACAGAATGACTGGTAGGTGTCAGTGTGTAGGGGAAAATGCAGTGGTTTATTGTTTTGTACATGAAAAGCAATAATGTCTAAGAAGCCTGTAGTACACAGAATGACCGGTAGGGGTCAGTGTGTAGGCGCAAATGCAGTGGTTCGTTGATTTGTACATGAAATGCGATAATGTCTAAGAAGCCTGTAGTCCACCGAAAGACCAGTAGGGGTCAGTGTGTAGGTGTAAATGCAGTGGTTTATTGGTTTGTACATGAAAATGCAAACAACGCCTAAGAAGCCTGTAGTACACCGAATGACCAATAGGGGTCAGTGTGTAGGTGAAAAATGCGGTGGTTCGTTGGTTTGTACATGAAATGCAATAATGTCTGAGAAGCCTGTAGTACACCGAATGACCGGTAGGGGTCAGTGTGTAGGCAAAGATGCAGTGGTTCGTTGGTTTGTACATGAAATGCGATAATGTCTAAGAAGTCTGTAGTACACCCAAAGACCAGTAGGGGGTTTAAACGAATGATATGCATGAACATGCAATGGTTTTAGAACAGACTTAGACAAAATGCAGCAGTAAAGTGAGGACCTGACCCTTGCATGGTGCCGTGGGACTGATGCCTGGCGTAATGGGTAGGTCAACTTACGGTTTGTGAGTCACTTGGACACCATCCACAGCGATAGATTGAAGAAAGAAGGTGGTAGGCCGGAAAAGCCTGTGGCTGGATTCCTGACACAGCTCAGCTTAGAAAACCTCATGGAGTAATCAGGTAAAATGGCGTCTGGATGACCCGGAAGTGGAAATCATTCTGATGCTGACCTCAAGCGATATGAGTCAGGTAAGGGGTGTCCCTTATATAGGGGAGTGAATTAATTTAAGCCCCTCCCACAAATACAGGCAAAACTGCCTTAATACATATATATACACGTGTGTAATTTAATTATAAGTGTATTTTATAATAATATATGTACATATTAATATAAAAATACACTTAGTATGACATTACATATATATGATATATAGACATATATTTTATATATATATAAGTCTATATATATAAAAAAAAATTTTTTTTATTTATTAACCTTAACTTTTATTTTATTTTTTTATTTTACACTAGCAGGGAGACTGCCTGCAGGCCCTGCCAGCAGACACATGGACACCTATTGTGACCATGTGATCACTGTGTTGAACGATCACATGGCCCATGGGGTCCTAATCCACCGCAGGGAGACTGTCTGGGTTGCAGGCAGTCTCCCCACACCGGGAGCACCGACGATCGCTGCCGGGGGAACGACGGCGATCGGGTAAGTACATTAGACCGTTAGGATGGTTCAGGACCGTCACAGGTCGGCAATGGAAAAATTACGATGACGGTCCTGAACCGTCCTTGGTCCTGAAGGGGTTAAATAAGTTATCAATATATGTTTTCATTGGTGGTATATCTACTAAATAGTGTTTTTTTTTTGTTTTTTGTTTTTTTGGACAGTTGAGTTTTTCTTTAATATCTCTGCCATTAATTATGAACTGAAGCTGTGACTGACTGTATTATAAATAAATTATCATCATCATATTATGTGTACACTAACAAACTGCTAATCCACCTCTCTCAGGAATATTAATACCCTCGCTCCCCACAACAAGAGTATAAATCGACACTTAATGTCTTATTCATGTACTGTTCAACTCGGCTTTGAATTAATACTCTAATGCAAATAAAATAATTCACAAGTGCCTTTTGCGTGTTTATGATGAACACAGTTTAAATTCATCAATGATTTAACACAATAAAATTAAACTTCCAACCAAAAAAAAAATAAAAAAATGATACAAACAGATTCATCAAACAGGAAACATGCATATTGCATGTTTTATTCAGTATTTATTAGAAACATTAATAAAAATATGATCGCCATGACGCAAGGTAATACAGTGTCTTTCATGTCTGAGGCTAGTAATCTTAATTAGGAGGGTAGAGGTAATGCTGAAACACGCAGAATGGATATTAGAGAGATCACATGTTAACTCTTTGGGGCACTCTATTACTAAGATTTTAAAGCAAGACAGGAGGCTTCATATTTGCTTTACCTTCTTTATTAAAACCTCCTGCAGCAAAGACATATAATAATAATCAGGAGTCCAAAAAGTAAGTCCAAAAGAGTCTATGCCTGATAAAAACAGCAAATGTCCAAATAAAACCTTGTATAAGAAGTCAATCACAATCTTGTCAGGGGAAGTATTCCTCAGTAAGGTATGGGCATGGGATATTCATGAGATCCGTATGAAAAAATAAAAAGACAGCAAATAATGGCGCAGTATATCCCAACAGATACCAAGTACTATTTTGTAAAAAGTCTATATGATCCTACTCACGTCTTCCAGAGCTATAAGACTAGTTCTAGTGTGGATGGCATACAGTGGTACAATCCCCACTTATGGGATATATGAAGTTTTGTAGTAGATGGATATCTTGTTGGTATAAGGACCATATGAAATATAAAAGAAACAATAATAGTGCTTATTGTATAAAAGCCAATGGTGAAATAATAAAATACCAAATGTTACTCACATTTTATTGAGCAGGCAGACTAATAGAAAATAATAATAAATAACTAAAAGATACAAACTGTAAAAAAATGAATATGAATAAACACAGAATATTACAGTAAATTTAAAATAAAAAAAAAAATGTGCAGGCAAAGGTAATAATAATAATAATAATAAATAGGGGTAAAAGGGATGTAAAAAAAAGGATCTGTGTCATCTGATGCCTTTTTCTTGTAAAATTGTATACAAATATATGCCTATTTTTTTTTTAAACCCTCTATGAAGATTTTAAAGAGCATATGTAAATATAGGGTAAGAATTAAGTAAAAAAAAAAATTGTATGCTTGTATCACATTCTAAACAATACAGAATATGCACATTTATAAAAAGTTTAAAAGATCAAAATCAACATTCAAACCTTCAGGGGCAAACATTTTTAACAGGAACACCCAATACATTTCTTTCTGACCCAAAAGATTTTTTAAATCACCTCCCCTCCACGGTATTTAATATTTTTGAATTCCAATACATTTTAGATGTTTTGGATTTTTTACCATGTTTGATAAAGTGCCTTCAGACTGAGTGGTTAGGGTAACCTTTGATGATGTACTAATAGTGCTCTGCCAGTCAAATGTTAGGCATCTAGTGGTCATTCCTACATACTGGAGGTCACAGAAGCACTCTAGTAAGTATGTGACATTTTCTGTGTTACGACATATTAGGTCTTTTATGGGATATGATGTGTTAGTATTATTAGAAGTAAAGTGTGTGGTTTTTGACTTGATTTGTGGGTTCGTGGTTCTGCAAACTATGCATCTGTTACATTTAGATGTAGTAAAAAAATGATGAGTTAGTGGTAGTAGGCTCTTTTGTTTAGTTTTTGGTAAGAATAGTTCTAAATTTAGGAGCTCCTCTAAAAATCACACTGGGTTTGTCTGGGATGAGTGTTTTAAGTATTTTTTATTTATTTTTTATTTCAGTTTTTCTTTTATTGAGTCACGGGGTACAGAATAGAGAGAAGAGTTAGAGCATATAAATGCAAAAACTATGTATATTAACAGTCCACAGAATAAACTCCTAAGTTAGGCTGCCAAATATTTTATAATAATAACTGAGAGGTATAAACATGCTAGATATGCGAGATACACCTGATATCGAGTTTGCATGCTAGAGACATGGTATATCGGGCAAGACAGGATTGAGTTATGCAATACAAGAGGTTTGCTTCATGGAATATCAAGCTAGAGTTGCTAGAAAAGCATATCATAGGATATACAAGTTAGGCTATTTGGCTATTTTTACAGGCGTGTCCACTAAGATACGATATGCATTTGTCGATTCAATTGATATATACAAGAGAAACAAAATCAAAAGGTACTTAGCGTCACTAAGGGGGGGGTGACTTATTGTCATGGTGGTGTCATAGCTTGTGTAAACTAAAATAAAAGGCAACAGGCCAAAAGAAAACATAAATACAGACTTATTTAGCAATTAGTGCTTGCGGGTTCAGCTAGTCAGTATCCCCTTGTGCCTGCCATGCGTTCAACCAGTTCCCTTGTGTGGCCTTCCCTTCAGGTAGTTAGACAGTCCGTGCCATAGGTGATCAGATACTTGTCCTCTCGATTTGCCTTTCCAGCTTCCAGTTCTGTATGACCGTTGCTTGCTGCCAGGTGGTGGATTTGCGAGGTCTCTGTACCTTGCATCTTCGGCCCAAGGCTTTCATGGGAGCCCTTTCCTGTAGTCCACTGATCCTTCATCAGGATCGTGGGCCTTGGGGTCTTCTGAATTGTGAATAGACCCCTGGGTGTATGGACAGCAATGGGGGGTTCCCTCCAATTGGGCCCCGAGGTTGGAAGAAGAGTGGACAAGATGACCTGCATTG